TCTTGTTACAGGATTAGAAAAACCCGCCTAAACTTATGCTAATTGGTTATTAATTACAGCATCATCTACTATTGGTCAAGCATATTTAAATTAGCCCGCATGCTCCTTGAGAGTGTGTGTGGGGGTGGTTTGTATAGTCCTTTAATTGGGTAGGTGGTCACAAACTCCCCCAGCCACCTTTCCCTTCCCCTGGTTACTGTCGATTTTTGTTGACTTCAGGCCTCTCTGGCAATCGCCCAACTCTTGCACCTTCTGGGGCAGGATGTTTCCCTTTTATCAGTTTTTCAGCTCTCCTTCAAGGATACTCTTTAGCAAAGCATGCTTTTTATCAGTCTTTTAGCTTTTCTTCAAAGGTAGAAAAGGAAGTTGTGCATTTAACCCTAAATTAAACAGTGTCTAAGCACTAACCCAAACACATTTCGGTCCCTGTAAAGTGGAAAATTCTACTTTATGGATATCGAGTTGGCAGGCCGTGGCTGTGACTCATTCCTGCAGCTCACTGACTCACTAGCACCACAGCACACCCTGCGACTGTCTTTACGGACTCCAGCCATAATGCTGGGTGCTTGAGAAGACGTAGGACAAGAAACAAGGAAAGAGAGGGTGGACAAGATGTGCGGTGCTCTGATCCTGTCTTGGGGAACAAAGGGAAATATATTGTAACGAGTAATTAAAGGGTGTAGGGCAACAGGAACAGAAGAGACGTGAGGAATGATAAAACATGGCAGATAGACACCTGCCTTGGGTGCACATGCACAAATGCAGCCTGGGAAACACACAGGAGGAACTAGAGCTCCCTGTGCGGTCACAAAGCCACCAGTCACGAAGCCAGTGATGTAGGTGACATAGTGGTGGCAGCATGCTGCAGAGCACCGCAGTCAGAGTGAGGGAGGTGATGAAGTCTTTAAGTAAATCAAGGAAGCCTCTGGATCACAGCCCCTGTTTCTTGTGTAGGACTTCGATGTTCATGACATCTGCTGGAAGGGCAACACAGAAGGTACAAGCAGTCAACAAGATTCCTGAAGTGTGTCAGGGAGAACTTTCTGACACAAGTGCTGAACGGGCCAGTGTCTGAACGGATCAGCTGTTCGCTAGTAAAGAGGAGCTGGTTAAGGATGTGAAATCGATGGCAGCCTTGGAGGTAGTGACTATGAGGTAGAGGAGTTCAAGATCCTAAAGGGAGCGAGGAAGGAGAGTAGCAGTACAGACCATGGACTTCAGGTGAGCAGACTGGTTTATTCAGGAAAGTGGTAGGTGGGATCCCATGGGAGGCAGCTCTGAAGTGCAAAGATGCTCAGAGAACCTGCATGGAGGAGTTTCAGGCAGGGACCGGCTACAAGGAGGAATTTAGAAATGTTGCATGGACACATAAACATGATAGGAAAACAAAAGCTCACCTAGAGTTGATGCTTGTAAAGGACATCAAGGACAACATGAAGAACTTCAGCCACCCCATTAACCATAAAATGCTGAATAAGAAAAAAAATGGCACTTTGTTGAATGGGGCCAGTGGTCCAGTGATAGCAGGTGAGGATAAGGCTGAGATACCCAATGCTTTCTTTGCTTCATTCTCCACTAACTAGATCTCCCTCTCCTCCATGCGTAGTGAATGAGTTCAAGGAGGACACCTGTCAGGAGCAGGTGAGAATAAAGCAGAGATTACCTGAGAGGACTTGACCCATAAGAGTCCATGGGACCCAATGGGCTGCACCCAAGGTTGCTGAGAGAACCAGCTAGCATCCTTGCAAGGCCACTTTCTATTCTCTTTGAGAGGTCATGGAGATGAAGGGAGGTTCCTAACAACTGAAGAAAGGCAAACATTGCAACCATCTTCAAATAATGCCACAAGGACGAAAGGTCAGCCTCTTTTTGGTGCCTGGGAAAGTAATGGAGCAAATCCTCTCAGAAGGCATTTTGAGAACTTTGAAGGAGCAAAAGGTGACTGGGAATAGTCAGTATGGGTTTACCAAGGGTACCTGGTTGTCATCTTTGATAAAATGACTAGATTAGCGGAAGGGGAGAATAGTAATTTGTTTTTAAAAATTAGGGAATTTAATAGAAAGGGGAGAATAGTCATTTGTTTTTAAAAATTAGGGAATAAATCAAATGTTGAAGTTTTAATCATAGTCCTTCGTGGAGCTGATGGAGAAATCTATGTGGTGTCTCCTTCCTTCCTTCCTTCCTGTGGAGGAAAACTGTAAGCTAACATAAAGGAGACAGACATGAGGAGAATCACTAGGGTTAAATATGTGTCCCAGAAACAAACAAACAAAAGATAACACAATTTCTTCCAACATGTATGTTTTATTTGTAAGGGTTTTTTTAAGACCTGAGAGGGTCAAGTTAGAAAAACACTGTTGTGGTTGGAGTTCAATATCACAGAGTCATATGCTGGCTGCCACTATGTATTTACAAGACCTATTGGACATCTGCAAAGACAGAAGAAAATTCAGGGACATGAAATGGTGAAATGGGTGAGTGAGTAGATAGAGAAACTTGGCTTTGAAATCACTTTGGCAAGCAAAGTTCATTTGTGTCACTGCATGAAAGATACACCTAAGAACCAATGCTGAGTAAGTATTTTACCATAACCCTGCAAAATGTCCGATAGGAAGGAGAAGACTTAGGATTCCACCTTGACCAAGGCAGCTTTAATGCTGTGAGCAGAGCAACTAAGTGCTTGACTTACCCTGGGAGCACTAAGCAAAATTTTCAACAATTAGAAAAATACAACAAAATCTTCAAATATAGGAGTGGTGTGACAACAGTTTGGACACTATGTGTGTAATATAGAACATCGAAAACATTAATCTCTAGTAGTTTCACTACTCTGTGTGGTTTCAAATTTGCCGCACATTGTGCTCCCTGACAAACTCTAGTTTTTTTCAATGTGTGGATACAGTTTACCTAGTCAATAATTTTATAGGCCATTTTTCCAAAGTAAACAACACATTCTTAAATCACAAAATGAAAACTGAATTTTTATACTAAAAGCATAGGGATAGAAAAGCAGACAACTGAAATACTTTCCCATTTTGAGCCTACCTACAGTTTCTCTGTTTAAAAGATGTTTATTTAGTACAACAGCTATTCTATAAATGTGTGTTTGGGTTTTTTAAGCCTCATCACAGAAAAACACCACCACAGAATCTGTGCCAGCACCTTAGCTCATGACAGTGAAAGCAGCTGAATCGATGACCTCCCCCTGAAGCTGTACCTCTCTTAGCAATCCAAAACACTATCCATGTGAGGCAAGGAAGCCTAACGAGAATGAGTGGTGAAAGACAATCTTCCACCAGCGTGAAAACTGGCGAGAGAAGTCTTCGGTTCCAGAACTCTGAACAGAACGGCATTTTAGCTTCTCAAAGCCATCAACTTTTGTGCTATGATTAAGCTGCTTACATGCATTTGAATTGTGCTTGCAAAGGAGTACTCTGCTTCTGCAACACTTCTACAGACAATTTCAAATTACATAAAAGTACTATGCAAATTGACTGTTGGTCATCATTGTTCTGTGCATTGGATTTCTCTTTCCATATTTTATACATTTTTGTTATATATATACACACACAAAGAGGAAAGAAAATTATATAAAAGGAGAGAAAAAGAATTTAACCAGTGACTCTCACTTACCCATCCGTGAAAGCCTTCTGGGTGAGTTGCAATACCCAACACAAGGTAAGAGAGTTTGGCACGTGGAGTGGGTTATAATCAAGCTCCATTGCCTTCTCCAACACATCTACCCACTTCTTTCAGTACTGCATATTCAACTGCTTTGTTTATTAACAGCTGCTTAAGACACCTCTGCGTCAGCTTTCAGACCTCTGTGAATCCCATTCTCAAGCAGTGAATATGGCCCTTGTTCAGTGGTAGAAAAAATCCAGTATGATACTGGTTCAGTGGCAGAGAAAGATCCATATAATGTCACAGTAACAGGACACAAAGAACTGATCTAGTATAAAAATCACTGTGTCAGTTCCAATTTGTTCCAGACGTTTTGATGCAATATCTTTGCACTTGCAAAGCTTTACACCCGAGAGGGTATTGTCTATTCTCGCATAGCCAGCCAAAACCATAAATCTAGCATGAACTTAGTATTGCTTGCTCTGCTAATTCAACAGGAATGTGATCATGTTCCCAAGCCTGGCCTATCTTTTAGGCAATCAAATAGTGCACAAATCTGGACTAAATATAATTTAAGCATGACCAAAGAGACAGCCACTCTCAGGAGAAAAGACATTAATGGTGAAAAGAGTAACAGCCGTTTATGCTTGTGACAATTTTGATTTCAAAATTCCATTGCCATGGAAACTTTCATTCTCTGAAAATCATTCAGAATTACTAACATGTGTACTGTGTCCTACAACACCAGGTATGGACTAAATTAAAATTAGAAAAGGACAGATACGCCGGATTAGGCAGTCCGTTCACTTGCATATTGCTCACCGTGGGAATTATAATGACTACAGGGCAATATCTTTTCTTGATAATAGTTTTTAAAATGAAATTATACTGTCCCTGTGAGTATTTATATAACTATTCAAAAATGTAGAACTGCTTCTTCACTGTTAGCTTTAGGTTCAGAAATGGGACATAAATTTTAACTCAACACATACACAAACAGGTATCTCCCTCCAATAAACCTCTAAGGAGACAGCTGTAGAAGAGTTCTTTCATAGCACCAGATCTATATCAAAAAAAAAAAAAAAAGAAAGAAAAAGAAAAAAAAGTACCTCAAACCCACAAACCAAGAAGGACATCCAGCAAAACTTGTTATTCTTTTCAATGCACTAGATGGTGTTTTACCTGGCATCATACCAGCAAAAATAAAAACAAGATTCTGAAAACTAGCAAAACCAGGTAAAATACATGCCTCTGCTGCCCTCTTAAAAAATGCCATTCATAAACAAGTTTTTTCTCTATTTCTGTTGAAGATACATATGAAAAAACAGCACTAACTAAGAGAGGAACCTTATCTATAAGTCGTTTATTTTTACTTTCTACAAAGATGGTGTGTTACGTGATCTCAGTGTTGCAAACTTTCTGGGACATAATATTTTCATGAAAGCCATTCGAAACCTCATATGACAGAGAGGGTAAAGAAATGGGTTCAGTGAGGAATTGAGCCACAGAAGCCAAAAGGTTATTTCATACAGGGAGTTATGGACACAGGTTCCTTGGCAGGCCCCACGAATAATCATTAGTAAAGTGTATGGGGCCCAGCAAATGGCAAAGACACACACAATTACGGCCAGCGACTTGGCTATTTTTTTGTCCTGCTGCAGTTTTGACCCAGTCCTTGAACGGAAAGAAACAGAAAAGTCCTTTTTGAGAGCCGTGGTACTGGTTTGTGTTGGAGATGGACAGTTAGCCATCACTGCTGGTCTCCATGACCTTGTTAATGATGAAACACTGTCCTCTGCTTCCGATGGAGTAGAAGATGCTCCTGGCCTTGGCAAGAAGCAAAATCTCCAGGACAGGCTGCCGCTCCTTGGAGGCTCGCAGTCCTGCGTGCTGCCGCGCCGCTGGCGCCTCTGGATGTTGTGGAAGATGTGCACGTTGAAGTAGGTCACCGAGAGCAGCGGCAAAAAGAACTCCAGGGTGGACGCGCACAGGAGGAAGTACCAGTTGTGGTAGAACTCGGCGTAGCACTGATCCACCGCTACCGTGCTGCGGCCGGCCACGTGCTCCCAAAAGAAGATTGCTGGGCAGTAGAGGAGGAAGGCAAAGACCCAGATGGCCACCATCTTGACCACAGGGTTGGAAGTTATTCCCTGTTGGGCTCTGTAAGATACCTGCGAGGGAAAAGAACATGTCACATATTCAGATAACGTTTTGGAACAACTATCTCAAAAAAACCCCATAAGCAAGCAAGTCAAATATAATATTTGTTCTGTAATTCCTGAAAAACTCTGTTAGTCTTGCTCATCAAATCTTGTAGCTCTGTGATTGATTTTAATACTTGGGATTGGAGAGGAGCAGAAATTACGATGGCTAAACTACCGTTTCATGAAATGCCCAGTCTCATAGGAGAGTGGAATCAGCTGTGGGACTTCCTTCCTGCACAGGCAAAAGTAGAAGCCTTCTATATTAGATAGGTTGCCATGAGATACTGCAAACACTAGACAATCTAATTTTTAAAACTGTTTCCTCTTGCTATAGCAGAAAAATCTGTCCCACATATATGCTTTAGCATATCCCTTCCGTAATTGAAACATTCTGTTTTAACACTGACTTTACCTTGTAAACAGGTAAACATTGCATTACTGCAAATCTTGATGGTTTTACATCTACCCAGACTGCATTAATTTAGTTTACTCTCTAGCCATAAATATCTAACTTTGAAAAAAATATTAAGAATTAAAATCATAGAATCCAAAGTTAGGAAATACGAGAGTTAAAAACACCCTTGTAATAGCCCAGCCAGTATGTACAATACATACTTCTAGCTCTTGATGCTCTGTGCGTTTCAGAGCACAAGATGATCTGTTAATGAGAAGATGGACAATTTTATTTACTCCATACTACTCAACATTTGCCATCCCAAGCTTTACGCAGACCCAGAACTACTACCTTCCTCATCAGCTTCCTATGCTGTTCATTAGCGTAGCACCTGCATGTTATACAAATATTAGCGAATGGTATCTTCACAGTCACATAGGCCGTGAGGGGCATTTTACCGGTGAGTTACAGAGCAGTAGGGCAGAGTTGCACACATTATTTTAGATTCTCCATTTTAAACATCTGTAGCCTGAAGATTCACAGTCCTCTACGTCTTAAAGAATCATATCAGCTCAGATCACAGCTCCAATTGTGCAATAATGAATTTGCAGCCCCTTGCAAGACCACAAACATCTCAATTTAGTAGGCAGAAAACAGGAAGTTCAGCACAGCTTCACAAAAAGTTAAGTTTGAAATGACTGGCCCCTGGCCACAAGCTAGGTTTGCAGCAGAGGCAGAGGTAGATCCCAAGTCCATGAGGAAGCATGATATCTTTTTCTTTGGATAACAGCCCTATGTTACACACTCTTGGACTCATTCCATCCTAATTACCTAAAGGAGAAAAACAGAATGTGATTGTGTAACAAAGACCATCAACAGTGCGTAAGAACACGGAGCTCAGTTGCGTTGCAGAGGCCTTTTTAATTTACATATCTCACACTCTGAGCTCTGCAACTTCATTAATTGTTTTCAATATTACTATTTCTTAAATACAGGGATTTTCATACTTAATTGTTCAGCTTTGAAAAAAAAGCAGCAGCAACCAACCCTAAAACCGCAACTCTAGGGAAGAAGAAAAAGAGATTAAGCATTGTATCAGCACTTCCCAAATGAGAATCTCCCGATCTAACACAGCCCATGTCACTCAGGCTAGCAGACTCATCAAAAGAAAAGGATGTTCATTGTCTTCCATCTGGACCAAACACCAGGTAGATCTTAGAAATGGTGAATAATATTTAGCACTGGATTCCCCAGATATCTTCTGAAGCAGAAGAATACTAGTCAACAAACACCTCTTACCTCTCCACACAGTTTGATTCATTCTTTCTGCTTCAAGGGATTAGTTTCCACCTAACTGCTTGTTGGCAGCACGTGTCAATCACCCCCTGCAGCAACGCAGATCCTCATCTGGTCTTCAGTCAGTCCATCCCACATCTCTCTCCACACCCTCTTCTCCTTTTAAAATTTCTCCCAGGCTTAACCACATCCTTGACTCAACCTAGTTTTGTTACCACTCTTCTAATGACCAAAGCCCGAGTTCTCCACACTCCTGCCCCTATTCTACCTTGACCTTCCCACCCCCTCTATAGTGTAAATAGTTTCTAATCCAGATGGGCAGGAGGGAAACATGGAAATCATAGGCAAGGCATTGTCCTATCTCTAAGTCCCAGTGCAACACTGAAGCATCAAAGTTTCTGCAGAAAGAAAAAGGTACAATAATGAAGGAATATTTAGCTTCTAGCGTTAATGTGAGGACTCAGTTTTATAGAAATCTCAATATATATATAAAGAAATAATTAGAAATGTTCTTCTTACAGCTTTTGTAACTGACAGGAAACGGTCGTAGCTGATAAGAACGATGCTGAACACTGAAGCTGTGCACAGGAGATAGTCCATAGCCAGCCACAGCTTGCACAGGCCTCTTCCCAAGTGCCACGTCCCTGTCAGGGCATAAGGGATGTACAAAGGCATGCAGAACACACCTATGGAAATAAACCAAACGCACACGTCAGTCAGCACCGCAGGCAGTGCTCGTGAAAGCACAGAAACATTTCTGCCATATCTAATAAAAGCGTAATACTGACTGGAACTGCCACGTGGAAGGCTTTGTGTTCTCATGTGACCGATGAACACTTGACCACACACTGGGCACCAGTAACATTCTTATCATTAATACCTTTCTGAAAGGTGTATCGCTTTTATTGTGTATCATTATTACTTCTCCTGTTTTTATCACCTGCTAAAGGAAGGAGCAGCTGACTTTTTTTTACCTGCTAAAGTACACGCTATTCTGTATTAAGCTATCAAAATTAAAACAAACAAAAACCATCTTTCCCCCAATGTAATTTACTAACTGTTTTCTACAATAAATGATTTAATTGCCATGATTCTATCCTCTTAGAAGCATGATATGGTGTCCAAAAGTGCTCCAGAAGTAACTTTTATAGAAATACACTATGAATTTCAGACTAATCTTTAAAACTATCTAATCAGAAGGCTGAAAATACTGCATAGTTAATTGAGTACACCCAGTCTAACATTTCTTCGATCATAACCACTTTTCAGTGGTGACTTGATAGAGTATTGTCTATGGGAACACACCAAGTGGTGGGAACATAATGAGTGACCAGCACCCATGGCTATCTACATTTAAGCTGCTAAATCCAAATGTTGTGAAAGTGCCAATATGATCTCATTTTAATGTATTTCTAGGTGATTACACAATACACAGTCACAATGCAGCCCTGCGAGGCTGAAGAGCTAACGGTGTAGTTTGCTGCGATGCAGAAATGCAGTAAACAGCATCAATGCTGCAATGAAATGGAATCACTGCATCTGCAGAGCATCTAACGCTTGCTCCTTCCAGCAAAAGGTTACACTATACATTTTAACATTCATGGCGGGGGGGAAGGATGTTATTTCAACTTTAGAATGAATTCATGTATGTGATCCTGCAACAGGTACTGAAGAGAGTATCTTGAGAGTTTCCATTTCCCTAAAAACCTTACAATTCCTGTTATTCTCCCTCTACTAAGAGTCAAGAGATTTCTATCCAAATCCAGCTATACAGAGATAAAGCAAAAGTTGTTGAAGATCAAAAACAGACAGATCGAATATAGCAAAAGAATAAGCAAAGGGCTCTGCAAGCATGAAAGTATGAGCTTTTAGCAATTAGGATGAAGCAGAAATTAAGGATAACCTGAATCTAAGGATATCTAAGGATATCCTGAATCTAAATAATGCAGCTATTTATATAGTT